CTGGCACATAACCTCTTGTCCTCCATTTCTCCCTCTTTCCTTCCCTGTTGGCATATTCTTTTTATATGCTGGTTCTTTCAGCTCCTTGCTCCTATTTTCCTACTGCTCTATCTCTACCTTATGTCCTCACTTTTTTCACTTCTTAATCTTATGCACGATGACCTCCCTCTTGGTCGGTATGACAAATGGTCAACATTGCTCACATCGCTTATCCTATTTGCTCATACCTACAAATATATATATACGTGATTTTTCCAAATCCTGCATATTTTACCTTTAAGCCCTTGTACCCTGATACATTACACGATGTCTATTTTCTCATAAGAAACTCTTCTTTTTCCAAATTTCTCTAATCCCTCCTTGTTCTTTCGGGGCTTTTGCAACATGTTTATGAGTAAAATTGTCATCCTGGAAATTATTCACCTGACTTGGCATGTTGCCACGCTATGACTACTGACAAATTTCATCGTTGGTTAATGTGTGTGTACAATAAACACCCAATAAAGTTTTCTTTTAAAAAAAAAAAAAAAAAAAAAAAAAAAGAAAAGACACAACCAGTGTGTCGCAAAGAAACTAGCAAACACAGGATAATCAAATCAAAAAAGATTTGCACACATAGTGAGAAACCAAAATATGGAGAAGGCCTGAGCAACCAAGACAACCCAGGCATCCACAGCAAAAGCTGCAGATTTTTCGGCACGACATATGGAGGGTGAAGACCAGGCAGTGACTTCACTCCTTTCTTCCAAATTGACGGAAACAAAATTGATGGGCAGATCACGTAAACATTGAGTCTTAAATGGCATCAGCTGTGTTTTGCGTGACATCATCAGGTAGCAGAAGATATCCGGGAAGCAGGGGACCATTGAGGAATTGGAAGGCGTGTTCTGTTTCTGGATTTTGTCAGGGTCCACATTTTGTTAGGAGTGTTGACCGCTCTTGGCTTGGATAGGGGTAATGATAAGGGCTCACCTGGGAGAGGGGGTAAGCATAAGTTACGCAAAAATGCCTCTCCTTCTTGGAGATCTGATTGTGTGTTGGGTGCAATCTTTGCCTACAGTTAACTTGAACGGGAAACCCCATCTGTATATAGTGCGATGTTTCTGAAGGTGGAGAGTAAGCGGTCGAAGCGTATGTATCTTAGACAGTGTGATATGGGACAGATCACTGTAAATTTAGATTTTTTTTCCCCCTCTGAAATCAACCGAAGCAGTGTTACCTGTAGAATTCAGCAGGGATTCCTTACTATCATAGTAATGAAACCGGACAATGATGTCTCTTGGTCTCGTGCCCAGTGGAGGTTTTGGGGCAAGAGAGCAGTGGGCCCTATCCATTCACCAATCTATGTCCAGAACTGCTGGGGCCAATGCGTTGAACAAACCCCGCAAGTAATCTTGCAGATCGGTGTCTCCTATTGATTCAGGAACACCATGTATACAGAGATTCTGTCTCCGCTCCCTGTTCTCCAAATCTTCTTGTAGAGATTGTAGCTGGGACATCTGTTGCTTCAAAGTATAGTTATCTTTCTCCAGTACTTGTACATACGGCACTAGATCATCAAATTTGGTTTCTAGGTGATCTGTATGTTCTTCCACCAAAGCTATCTCCCCTCTGAGTTCCTGTGCTATTTTCCCCACTGCTGCAGAAATAGTATGGGACAAACTCTGTAGAAGATTGTGTAACTTATCATCCAAAATTTCTGCTGTAAGATAGGGGACAGGAGAAGGAGACAAAGCAGTGTGATGAGTTACAGCCTGCCAGATCATCCGATTCTGCCGTTGGGATCGTGTGATCACTTGAGGCCGGGGATGCTGCTCAAGATACATATTTGTCCATATGCATAGGCCGCAGGTGCTTGGCGGGTGATGGAGGGTATTTTTGATGCCCGATTTTGCCCATGAGGATCTGCAAGTAATAATGATTCCAGTACCTGTGCTCCTCTGCTGTACATACTGTAGCTAATGTTAGCTCCGGAGGAGCTGGAAGAGAGACCGGTGAAGAGGAGCGGGGTTAATGCGTGACCGCCATCTTCAGTCTGGCTTTACTCTAGCAAAAGATATACTGTATTATGTATATATAAATATATATCGTTTGATAATATGCAAAATTCCTAATGTAATTTATTATATGGTAGGATTCTGCCCTATTATTTTCCTCTTTAGCTTACCCTGATCAAAGATATTATCTGAAACAGCATATACCCCCCCACCTCCCTCCCTTCTCCTCTCCTTCCCTGTCCCCCCTTTTTTTTCCCCCTCTCCTCTGCCTCTCTTCCTTTTTCTGGGTATAGATGTTTTTGAACACATATACCAAGTTGCTGTTTTTTCAATATGTAACATATATGATGTTTGGCTAATTTGTATCTTTCTAATACTATTTTAGTGATCTACTGTATCTGTATTTTAGATCTAACGTCCTGGTGAAATGGGTCATCCAGAGAAACGTGCCAATCTACAGTCAAAGATCTCTGAGGAATTCCATGCTATGTTCTTCCATTTATTTGTGTAGAAGACAAGTGGTAGAGTTCACGTCTTGAAATTATATATTGTTTTAATGCAAAAAGTGTTTTAAACTGATGTAACAAAGACATGTCATTTCTGAATATTTTGTGTCAGGTGTATATTTGCCCATTGGAGGGAAAGCAAAAGTCCCATTGTTCGTATTTCTGTTTTCTTCTATCACATCCAGTGGGGTACGAGTACCATTGATTTTAGCTACAACCATCTGAATGGATCCGTTTCTGGTCACTTGATTTAAAATATAGAACCGTATAGGACCTGTAAACTACTTCAGAGAGTAGCGCTCTCAGTGACTATCACCTTCCAGGCACTGGCAAAAAAAACTGAGGGACTTCTGGTATGGGAGGGGTTATATAAAGAGGAACTTTCTTTCTGTTTTGGTCTGTCAGTGTCCATTCACCTATAGGTGGTGCATAACCCAGATAGTTATGCGTATAGGCTGCTCTGTGTCCCGTGATGTGTGTTCATAAAGAAATGTATTTTTTTAACATATAATTTACCCAACATTGAAACTCATGTAACACAAAAATCAACTAACACCATATAGAAAACAATGTACTGTAATGCTTGTCTCTGTACGAGTAATCAGTGATATATAGCATAGTGTAGCTTCACCTACAGCAGTCCCTGTTCTTAAAAGCCGCAGGCCTAACCTGGTTCGTGACTGCCCCAATAGAACAATGCAATGTTCACTAGCCAGGAAGTACAGAAGCCTGAACAAAGGGTTATTTATTAGCTGGTTATTTATATTTATCACTACATATAGATATTCAATAATATTTTTTTTAAACTTAACATATTACCTAAATTGCATACCACACTTTGTTGATGTTTTTATCTCAGTAAACAAAATAGTCAGCCAATTACCGTATTTTTCGCTCCATAAGACGCACCTGACCATAAGACGCGCCTAGGTTTTAGAGGAGAAACACAAGAAAAAAAATATTCTGAACCAATGGACTGCAGACATAGTACAGGAAATGACCAGAGACTGCAGACACAGTACAGGAGATGACCAGAGACTGAGGACACAGTACAGGAGATGGACCAGAGACTGAGGACACAGTACAGGAGAAGGACCAGAGACTGAGGACACAGTACAGGAGAAGGACCAGAGACTGAGGACACAGTACAGGAGAAGGACCAGAGACTGAGGACACAGTACAGGAGAAGGACCAGAGACTGAGGACACAGTACAGGAGAAGGACCAGAGACTGAGGACACAGTACAGGAGAAGGACCAGAGACTGAGGACACAGTACAGGAGAAGGACCAGAGACTGAGGACACAGTACAGGAGAAGGACCAGAGACTGAGGACACAGTACAGGAGAAGGACCAGAGACTGAGGACACAGTACAGGAGAAGGACCAGAGACTGAGGACACAGTACAGGAGAAGGACCAGAGACTGAGGACACAGTACAGGAGAAGGACCAGAGACTGAGGACACAGTACAGGAGAAGGACCAGAGACTGAGGACACAGTACAGGAGAAGGACCAGAGACTGAGGACACAGTACAGGAGAAGGACCAGAGACTGAGGACACAGTACAGGAGAAGGACCAGAGACTGAGGACACAGTACAGGAGAAGGACCAGAGACTGAGGACACAGTACAGGAGAAGGACCAGAGACTGAGGACACAGTACAGGAGAAGGACCAGAGACTGAGGACACAGTACAGGAGAAGGACCAGAGACTGAGGACACAGTACAGGAGAAGGACCAGAGACTGAGGACACAGTACAGGAGAAGGACCAGAGACTGAGGACACAGTACAGGAGAAGGACCAGAGACTGAGGACACAGTACAGGAGAAGGACCAGAGACTGAGGACACAGTACAGGAGAAGGACCAGAGACTGAGGACACAGTACAGGAGAAGGACCAGAGACTGAGGACACAGTACAGGAGAAGGACCAGAGACTGAGGACACAGTACAGGAGAAGGACCAGAGACTGAGGACACAGTACAGGAGAAGGACCAGAGACTGAGGACACAGTACAGGAGAAGGACCAGAGACTGAGGACACAGTACAGGAGAAGGACCAGAGACTGAGGACACAGTACAGGAGAAGGACCAGAGACTGCGGACACAGTACAGGAGAAGGACCAGAGACTGCGGACACAGTACAGGAGAAGGACCAGAGACTGCGGACACAGTACAGGAGAAGGACCAGAGACTGCGGACACAGTACAGGAGATGACCAGAGACTGCGGACACAGTACAGGAGATGACCAGAGACTGCGGACACAGTACAGGAGATGACCAGAGACTGCGGACACAGTACAAGAGATGACCAGAGACTGCGGACACAGTACAAGAGATGACCAGAGACTGAGGACACAGTACAAGAGATGACCAGAGACTGAGGACACAGTACAGGAGATGGACCAGAGACTGCGGATACAGTACAGGAGATGACCAGAGACTGCGGACAGTACAGGGGATGACCAGAGACTGCGGACAGTACAGGGGATGACCAGAGACTGCGGACAGTACAGGGGATGACCAGAGACTGCGGACAGTACAGGGGATGACCAGAGACTGCGGACAGTACAGGGGATGACCAGAGACTGCGGACAGTACAGGGGATGAACAGAGACTGCGGACAGTAGAGGGGATGAACAGAGACTGCGGACAGTACAGGGGATGACCAGAGACTGCGGACAGTACAGATGACCAGAGACTGCGGACAGTACAGGGGATGACCAGACACTGCGGACCTTTAGGGAGGGAGGGGTTGTGGGTACCTGAATTTGACAGGTACCGGCTCCCACTTCCGCAAAGTTCTCCTTCCTATACTGTGGGCACCTGACTTTGACAGCCGGGTGCCCACTGCGCATGCGCAAGAAGCGCTGCGCTTTGTGAATGGTCCGGCGTCTTTTGGGACCTGTCATGTGTCCCAGAAGACACCGGACCATTCAGAGAGCGCAGCACTTCTCGCGCATGCACAGTGGGCACCCGGCTGTCACAGATGCCGGGGCGGGAAGAAGCCGGTGCGGGAAGACTACAGCTCTGACCGAGGAACAGGTGAGTTCCTGCCGCAGACAACAGCTGAGCGGCCCGCCCGGCAGCGGAAATACCGGACCGGCCGCTTTATATTCGCTCCATAAGACGCACTGACATTTCCCCCCCTTTTTTGGGTGTCTTATGGAGTGAAAAATATGGTAATTGATTATGAAAAAAATCAATACATTTTGAAAATAATCATTAGTTGCAGCTCTATACTGAAGTGTAGCAGTCTCCTATGCATAGGCTGGCAGGAACAGTGGGAACAATGATAATGTATGTCATAGCTTATTCGAATAAAGAATAATTCCCTGCTCAACTTACCAACCAGCTTGCATAACACCAAATTGTCCTGTCTAACAGTGTGCATTAAAAACAGGGGTTTAGTTTGCACACATAGCACACATTGCACAGATGCGTAAGCTGCAGAGCCACTTCACAGCACTGCAGTATTATCTGCAGTCCTAATTCTATCAATTTTCAGAGCCTCCATAATAGAAGCACAAATATATTCATGGATATATTGAGGGCAGGTATGCCTGAAGGGAGACCACCCCTCCTTAAAGACACAGGGGCGCACTGGACACCCAGCAAACCCTCCAAATAGAAATCGCAGCCAGGTGTCTGGTCTTGGAGTTGTGGGAAGTTGTGGCACCTCAAGGGGAAAACCGAGGAGCAGCACAGTGCTGATATATGTAGACAAGGGATCATCCCAAACATAACTCCAGGTCCCACAGGAAAGGGAAGAAGTTTGATTATTGTCAAAAAATGCATTGAGCCAAAGGATGTAACCATTATTATGTTTTGTTAAATACTTGGGAAAATGGTATTTCTACATGTATTATTATGTGAATATCATATTGATTGTATACCAATATCTGGTAGTGTTTTCAAATCATCTTGCCTTTTTTTAAGGTGCTTTAGTCATGTATAAAATTATTTTCATCTATTGTACAATAAAATTTTTTAAAACATTTAAAGTCCCATCAAATATGTCCTTGTTCTTTGAATGGCAACTTTACAGTGCTGAAGGATTGGAATACACAAAGTGTTCTGTAAGCAGACCTCAGCTGCATGTCAAATCTGGTACTTTACTTCACAGTTCGTGGCTTATTCTGTTGCTCGCCCCTGATGATGTCAAATGTATGACGAAATGTGAAGTGCCTCACATGAAGTCACCACACTTAGTGATTGCCGATCGGAAGGAACGCTATGCCATTTTTGTGCATGCTGCAGCTTTGAAAACTTTGATGTCCATTTCCTTTTTAACATGTGAGTGCATTACTGCTGTTTTAATAAATTTAATTTAAGCATATACTGCACTGAGGTTTTATATTTTATATGTTTACAAACTTGGGAGTGGAGTCTGAGTGGAATCCAAGGTCGGAATGACATCTCATCATCAGCTAAAGATTGGTTTGTGGCTGTTCCCTAAAGTGCTGTTTGCTTTTTCATTAATTTGAAAGCCACCTGATTCTGGTAAGCATCCACTTTACATTTACTACCACCGGACCCCTGAGGGCTTTTCCTTTTTTCCTTCAATGGTATTGGATTGGTGGGCACTTTTGGATCTTCTGGAAGCACTATTTTGCACATATTTTGGACTTTTGTTGCAGGAGCACTATTTTGTTGGACTGCCAGTTTCAATTGATTAGCACTGCTCTTTTTGATTTGTATTTTGTGAGGTTGCATCTTATTAACTGTGACAGCAGTTTTTTTTTCTCTATTCTTTTCACTATATATATGTGCTCAAGCATAGGAATACATATGTTATTGCCTAATTTTATTTAAATCCAGAGCCAGGGTCAGAATGGAGGGGGCATGGTCAGACCAAGAAATGGGCATAATTCTCACTTCCATCAAGGCTCGCAGAGTAGGATTATTTACAAAAAAATAGTCAAGACGAGCATGGATACGAAAAGAGTGGGAATAATGGGTGTATTGGAGTTCTCTGGGGTGTGTAACCCGCCAAGAGTCAAACAGGGCATGCTTCCCAATGAGTTGTCAAAACACCTGTGTTTATTGTAACAGTCAAGGTGTTGGGGTGTGTGCATTAAGAGAGTGTCTGTTAAACGATGCCAAATATGGCGAATTATAGTCACCAACTATAACCAGATATGTATGCTCCTTACGGAAGAGACAATTCTACACCCGAGTGTATCAGAAAAGCAGGCTGGCTGGTGAGTAGATCAGGAAAGCAGGTTGGTTGGCGTTAGGACAATAAATGTTACAAAGCATAATGTCCACAAATTGCCATTTGCCTTTAAGGATGAGGCACCTGCCCTGAGGGTCAGAGTAAGAGTCCAGGTGGAGAAACAAGAATCCCTTCTTTATAAGAATGGCCACTCCTGCTTTCTTCCGCTTGTTAGAGGCCTGGAAGGTATGGGAAAATTACCTATTGGCAAGTGACAGAGTGCCCCTCTTGTCTAAATGAGTCTCCTGCACAAAAATTATGTCAGCCCCTGCGGATCAAAATTTCCTTAATGCCAGATGGCGTTTGCGATTAGAGTTTAGGCCATTTACATTTAGAGAAAATATCCAAACCATAATTGCATATAACAAAATAGAAGCTGATACTTATATGACATGCCATTATCAGTAAATAATCCACCGCTAGAGGGAAATCTCATTCAGCACCCAGTATTATATCAGTCCGGAGAGTGGAAGGAAAGTGGAGTAAGCATGAAAGATAAATGAAAGTGACAGTGAGAGCAGACATAGAACACATCTTGTGGCCAGCAGGAGGCCAACAAAGCAGTCAGAGAGAAAAGCAGCAACCATAACAAGTATAATTCGCAAAAGTTAAAAAATGCCCTCAATATTGTACCCTTAGGTGTGGGGGGGTATAAGTCGATTCAGTAAACAAGGAATCTAGAATCACCAAAACTACAGTATAGTATACCAGTGTTAAAAGATAAGTAGAAATAGAACTTAGTTACATATACTGTAGTTACATAGTTCGTCAACCAAAAACAAAATAAAAAGGTATAATCCTATACCTACAGTTGATCCAGAGAAAAGAAAAAAAACCAACAAAGCATGATCCAGTTTGCTACTGCAGGGGGAAAAATTCCTTCCCGATTCCCCAAGAGGCCATCATATAGCGTAGCTGGGGGACATAAAATAATTCTATGTGGCAGTAGATCAGGGATAACTAGGCAAAACAATAATTAGAGCAGTAATCCACTGTATACCAGGTGTATTGAGGTGAGTGAGGCGCGAGGGTAATTCCCACAACTCCAGTCTCTGCATGACAAAAAAAAACCCAGGAGGGAGAGAAATATTATGCATTGCGGAAAGATTAAATGGGATACCCCACCGGTAGGTCACATTGGCCTCCCACAAATTAGATAATGGTTGAAGAAGCCTGGAGTGTCAGCCAGGAGAGATCAGGAAATAGCTGGACAGGCATCCCATCATGAAGTAAAGGATGCACACAACGGTCTTTCCTCATGATGTCCTCCTTCAGAGTGTAGGAGTGAATTCTGCAGATTATATCCTGTGGTCTGGGCGGAGGGCCTTTAGGTTTCAGGGCCCTGTGGGCTCTTTCCATTTCAATGTGGTGTGAAGATGGCTCACCTAAGATACAATTAAATAACGTTTGCAGGATATCTCAGGTCTTCAGGGCCTTCCACTTCTGGGAGGCCACAAACTCTGATGTTATTATGCCGATTGCAATTATCCAAGTCCTCCAAATGTCACTGCAAGTCACAAAGTATTTGAAGATCATTAACCTGCTGGGTTTGGATACAGTAGACTGCCATTTTAGCAGATTGGAGGTCTTCCTCCATGTCTTCTACTTTGGCGGCAAGGTGGGGAAGATCTGTTTGAAGAGCTTTTATCTCATTTAGACAGGTCTCCTTTACATTGTGCATCAATTGTCAAAAGTCCTCTTTAGTCGGCAGAGAGTGAAGATGGTCTTCCAAGTCAACCAGCTCATCTGACGATAGAATAGGGGACACATGAGACAGCCCAGTAATAGAGTGGGGTAGTCCCAATGTTCATACTAAGCATGTGGCTGGGAGAGTTGGGAGAAGCCAGGAGACTGCTCAGGAGACTGCGCAGAAACAGGGAGGGGCCTGTGAATGAGGTGGTGGGCTGCTGACTACAGCACGTAAGGCTGGTCTCACGGGACCGTGGAACCTGTTGATGCTTTGGAGAGCTAGGAACAGAGGCAGGGGCTACACAGGAGGCCAGTGACATGGGCAGCTGGGTCTCTGACCTGTAGCGAGGAGATGAATGATGGGGGGAAGGCCTCATAACCAGATCCCCAGTATTCAGGTATGCTAGAGTGGAACAGGATAGCTGTGCTGGATCACATCCTGCCTTCCAATGTGTAGGGACTGAGGGAGATGGGTTCACCTGTTGCTGCTCAAATGGTTCCTGGAGCAGGGCATTATAGGATGGCTGTGGGGTTCCAGGGTGGCCGGATGATAGTGGCTGGGTTCTAGAGATGAGCTGTAGTGGCAGTGGGGAGAGCACTGACTCCTCCTGGAGAGTATGAGGCTGGGGCGAAAGCGGCTGAACCTCCCACGAGTCAGGTGCCATGTGTCAGCTCTGGTGGCTGAGTAGGCAGAGGTGCAGGCTCTGGGGACCGGGCCAGCACCATTTTGGCTTCCTTACAGAGCGGCAGACCCAACACTGCCTCAAGGAAGTTCTGGGTATGTGGGTGGAGGTGGGTGAGTGGGTCCCCCCAGTTTCTGGGAACAGGTGGAGTGGGATTTGCCCATTAAAGTCAACAAAAGTCCCCCAAAAATGCTCTAAGAGAAGGTCCTAGGAGAGCTGCAAGTTCAAGCGTCCAT